GATCCATTTGATAAGAACGAACATAGAGAAAAAATGATCTGATAAATAAAATAGTCACGTATCTCTCGCAGTCGTTTCGCTTTTTTTCTTCTTTTCCTTTTTTTAATAATAAATCGACAATGATAAATTTAAATGTCATTGTAGAGCACCCCCCCCCCCCTTTTCTTTACAGGAAATCCTCAAACGGCCGACATCCTCAGTCATAAGTCCAACGCTAAGGGTGATTCCTGAAAATGGAATGGGACCCTAGACGTGTTTCAATTCTGTTTTAATCGATAAAGCAATAAAATGTTATGAAATGAAATAGGCCTAGGGATACTTATGAGTGGCATGGGGCATGACAAGTAGAATTATTAGCCTGTGGAATTGTGATTGTCAAGAAAAGAATGTCATGTACATTTTGTTAGCATTAGAGTCACCATTTAAAATGTAGGTAAAATAAACCTTTTCTATTAGTAATATCAGACGAATTTGATAACGTAATTCTGGGAAGCCATGCACGTGTCTTTGTTGGTCTCAAGATGGCGGCTGAAACGAAATCGACAGAAAAAAAAGTTTTGGGTTTGGCGCCCTTGGATGGACCGGACCGTTGGCGACACACTACTAGTTTGGCTGTGATGGTCAAGTTTTGTCGCTGTGAAAGCATGCCGACAATAGGTGATATCTGTATGATAGAGAGAGTGAGAAAGACAAGAGAGAACGCGAGAGAAATTGCAAAGCCAGCGCTCTGCCTCTGAGCTATTATATACCGTGTGTGTGTGTATACCTACATTATTCATGTGCTAATTTTTCAGTTCCCTATTGAACAACTCGTACTCCTATCCCTCCACAAATAAGTATGTGTTGAGCCTTGTGATATATTCGCACAAGTAAATAATAACGCCACATTGGGTAAGGAAATGAATGTACAAAACATCAGAGGTCATATAGTACTGACCTATTCGCAACAGAATGCGGGTTCTTTATCACGCGGGAAATGATGACGTCACAACGGCATTGTCTGAGTAAACACGTCACAATGTTGGCCTAATGACAGTCACGAGCAGCGGTGTAGATAGATATATCAGGGCCAGGGAAGGTAGGTCTGTTGAGGGGCTTCTTATCTCCGCCCCCCCCCCTCAGCTACGTCACGGGTCATGGGATGTGACAAAAGAATCAAAAGCCATAGGAACGTTTGGGTTTTATTTTACACTCTAGTATACGTGACAAAAAATGAAGAAAAAATCACAAGCCATAGAAATGTTTGGGTTTTATTTTACACTCTACTATACGTGGCAAAAAAAAAAAATCACAAGCCATTGAAATGTTTGGGTTTTATTTTTATTTCTAAAAATATAGTATAGATTGAAAGGCAGTCGTTAGCTATAATTTGTACCCTACCAATATAGTAAGTAAGAGGAAAGATTCAATCCATTTTTTTTTTTTTTTGTGAAGATTACTGTCCTTAAGGGTATGTCTTGAAACTGTAGGATGGAAGAACTGAAAGAGAGAGAGAGAGAGAGAGAGAGAGAGAGAGAAGAGAGAGAGAGAGAGAGAGAGAGAGAGAGAGAGAGAGAGAGAGAGGGAGGGAGAAAGAGAGAGAGAGAATGAGAGAGATACGACGGTATTCATTCTCAATGTAGTATATGTTTTATTTTTATTTTTTTCCCAAAGGGTATTTGTAGCCTCTTTTTCTGTGAATAATGTAATCGGTAAATATCACCCATTTCCTTCGTGAGGGCGACGTCGATGGCTTGAGAGAGTCCAATTCTAGCATGAAACTTCCTGGAGTAGATATGACAAGATGGAGTGGGTGGAGGTCTTGGTAATGCACAGTGAGTGACCCTTCTTTGTTGACGTTTTTCCTTCTCCTTTTCTCTTTATCTCAAGTTATTCTGTTCCTTTGGAGATGGTTTTACGCCAGTTCATTCTATATTTTGACCTTCAAATGCTTCTTAAAATCGCTCCCCCTTTATTTGAGATTTGAAGGTAGCTATGACTTTTTTTCCATTTTGACGTTCACTAGAGAGAGTCTGACGTGAAAATCAGGATTCTCTCTGTCTCTCTCTCTCTCTTTTTCTTTTTCTCTCTCTTATCTTTTTCTTTTGCTTTTGTTTTTGCTTTTCCTTTTCTCTCTCTCTCTCTCTCTCTCTCTCTCTCTCTCTCTCTCTCTCTCTCTCTCTCTCTCTCTCTCTCTCTCTCTCTCTCTCTCTCTCTCTCTCTCCTCTCTCTCTCTCTCTCTCTCTCTCTCCTCTCCTCTCTCTCTCTCTCTCTCTCTCTCTCTCTCTCTCTCTCTCTCTCTCTCTCTCTCTCTCTCTCTCTCTCTCTCTCTCTCTCTCTCTCTCTCTCTCGCATACCCTGATCAGCGTAGACGATGTTTCATGAATATGGTTCCGATACTTTGACTGTTAGCTTCGTCTAGAACAGCTTTTTGGACAGCTTTTGGCAGCATAATATTTTGTTTTATTGACAAAAAGGTTCAATTTTATTTTGATGGCCCTGCGATAATGTGTCCAGGTTT